ATTCTCTGTCAGGCAAATTACTCTGTATTTCTAGTGTACTCCTTGTTTTGAAGTTTATAGCTGACATTAATACAGCACTCTAGATATTACTACAGACTTCGTATGCCTGTAGTTTGCATGGTCTACCTTTTTCCATCCCTTTCTTTCAATGGCAGATAAATGGGTTTTATTTTTTTAATTCTTTCTCTGCTTTGTAGTTGGAATGTTTAGTCCAATTACATTTTTAGGCTAGTAACATTTTAATGTAATTATTGATATGACTGAATTTACATTTAATATTTGCTATTTTCTTTTATTCCACCTTTTTCTTTTCCCTTCATTCTTTTTTCCTGTCCTTTTAGGGAAGGAGGGTGCTAGTTGAATATTTTTTAGAATTTCATTTTAATTTCTCTATTGTCTTTTTAGCTATATTTATTTGCATCTTTTTAATGGTTGCTCTAGGGGTTATAGTATGCATTCTTAACTTTTCACAAACTATTTAGGACTAGTTTTATACCACATTATGTAAAATATAAAGACCTTTCAACTGTAAAGTTCTTATATATCCCCCTTGTCCTTTAGTTACATTTGTGTATGTTAAATCTCACGATATAATGTAATTTTTTGCTTGGAACAGTCATATGTATTTTTTAAAATTAAAGCAAGACAGTGTTGCCCTGGCCAGTGTGGTTCAGTTTGTTGGTGCATCATCCTGTAAACTGAAAGGTTATAGGTTTGATTCCTAGTCAGGGCACATCAATGTTTCTCTCCCTCTCTCTCTCCCTTCCTTCTCTTCTAAAATCAGTATTCAGTGAGCATGTCCTCAGGTGAGGACCAAGATAGCATTTTATATTTACTCACTTGTTTGTATTTGCTAATAATGGGAGGATTGGTCCAACATGAGCTCTTCTGCTATTATCACACAATGATTCTTCCTTAAGAACACAATCGTTTCAATCATACACTTCCAAGTTATACTGTTTGAAATTCATAGTTTTGTACTAACATTATTCAGTAAGAAGGGCATTTTTTCCTTTACTAGTCCATAGTTCCACTTTCCTGCCTCTAGTTTAAGCTATCTAAAACCACACTTTTAAAAATATATTTTGATTATGCTATTACAGTTGTCCCATTTCCCCCCTTCATTCCCCTCCACCCTGCACACCCTCTCCCACCCACATTCCCCTCTTCAGTTCATGTCCATGTGTCATAAGTTCTTTAGCTTCTACATTTCCCATACTATTCTTGCCCTCCCTCTATTTTCTCCCTACCTTCTATGCTACTTATTCTCTGTACCTTTCCCCCTCTCTCCTCCTCCCACTCCCCTGTTGATAACCCTCCATATGATCTCCCTTTCTGTGGTTCTGTTCCTGTTCTAGTTCTTTGCTTAGTTTGTTTTGCCTTTGTTTTAGGTGTGATTGTTAATAATTGTGAGTTTGCTGTCATTTTACTATACATGTTTTTTTATCTTCTTTTTTTTAGATAAGTCCCTTTAACATTCCATAAAATAAAGGCTTGGTGATGATGAACTCCTTTAACTGGACCTTATCTGAGAAGCACTTTCTCTGCCCTTCCATTCTAAATGAAAGCTTTGCTGGATAGAGCAATCTGGGATGTAGGTCCTTGCCTTTCATGACTTGGAATACTTCTTTCCAGCCCCTTCTTGCCTGCAAGGTTTCTTTTGAGAAATCAGCTGTCAGTCTCATGGGAACTCCTTTGTAGGTTACTGTCTCCTTATCTCTTGCTGCCTCTAGGATTCTCTCCTTCATTTTTACCTTGGCTAATGTAATTATGATGTGCCTTGGTGTATTCCTCCTTGGATCCAACTTTTTTGGGACTCTCTGAGCTTCCTGGACTTCCTGGAAGTCTATTTCCTTTGCCAGATTGGGGAAGTTCTCCTTTATTATTTGTTCAGATAACTTTTCCACTTGTTGCTCTTCCTGTTCTCCTTCTGGTACTCCTATAATTTGGATGTTGGAATGTTTAAAGATATCCTGGAGGTTCCTAAGCCTCTCATTTTTTTGGAATTCTTGTTTCTTCGTTCTTTTCTGTTTGGTTGTTCCTTTCTTCCTTCTGGTCCATTCCATTGATTTGAGTCCCAGTTTCCTTCCCATCACTATTGGTTCCCTGTGCATTTTCCTTCATTTCACTTAGGGTAGCCTTCATTTTTTCATCTAATTTGCGACCAAATTCAACCAATTCTGTGAGCATCCTGAACACCAGTACTTTGAACTGTGCATCTTATAGGTTGACTCTTAGTCGCTTAGTTATATTTGCCACGAAGCTTTTATCTGTTCTTCCTTTGGGTCATTTTTTTTGTCTTGTGGTGCTTGTTACGTATGAGGGGTGGAGCCTTAGGTGTTCACCAGTTCAGGGCAACCCAGTGGCTGCGTTGTGATGCTATATGTGGGGGTGTGGTCCAAGAGGGAACAATGGCACTTACTACACTCTGTCAGATTTCAGTCCCCTCCACCACTTTGCCCAAGCAAACTAGGCCCTCTGGTGCTGATTCCCATGTAGGTGGGCCTGTGTACATCCCACAATCCTGTGGGTCTCTCCAACAAACTCTCCCATGAGGCTGGGAGTCTCTCCCTGTGCCTCAACCATCATAAGTGTTTTCAATCGGTGTTTCGAGGCCTTATTTCCCGGCGCTGGGACCCTGGGTTGTGCGGGCTGTCTTGCTCCCCAGTTTTGCCTGGTTTATATGTACACAAATATGAGACCACCCAGTCAGCCAGCTGCCTTGTGTACAGTGCCTCACTGCACAATCGCCGCCTCACTGTCTGCCCATTGCCACCCTGCGCCCAGGGTCTGCCAGCTGCCACCTGCGCGCCCAGGGTCCACCCGTTGCCATCTTGTTCCCCCCAGGGTGTCTTGTGCCACCGCTTTTTGTGCCTTGACTTCTTTTCACCCAGCCTTCCGACTCCGCCCCGTCTACCAGTCTAGATGAATGTGTCTATTTTAATTCCTTGGTTGTCGGACTTCCATACAGTTCAATCTTCTGTCAGCTCTGGTTATTTTGTTTCTAAATTGTTGTTGTCCTTATTTTGATTGTGCGGGGAGGCACAGTGTGTTTACCTACACCTCCATCTTTGCCCGGAGTCTAAAACCACATTTTTATCTGCAGTTATGTACTTTGCCTCCCTTTCTGCTAAAAATTGTGATGACATGAGCACCTCCCATACTAGAAATTATAATAGCTCCTTTCTCACCAAAGTGAAAGAAATGGCAAATCCACATGCCCAAATGACTGGACAGGTACAACCTAGTTTTATTTTTTAAGAAAATCTAAGCTCAAATTAATGTAGAAAGTGCATGTTTCTTGATTGCTGTCCCTGAAATGCAAGGTACCATTGTCTTCTTGCCCGAAGGGGGCTAGAAAAACTGAAGAGTCCTGCTCTTTGCATTCTCTGTCTTCACCATGCTTCACTTAAAAGGCCTTTCTGCCCTTGTCTCCCCAAATGCTAAAATTTTTTCAGATTAGTGTAATGCATTCAATTCTGTCCTCTAAAAACCTCTCTTCCCTATACTTTGATATAACAGCAGTTCAACTCCACTTCAGTCTTCAAGCCCTTGTTTCTCTGTTGTTGCCACTAGTTCACCAAAAGTACATCACTGCTTGATGGTTAATAAGAACAGGTGCTGTGCATCCTGGCCTGGGTTTAAATTCCAATCCTATCATGTACCTTGGAAAATTCATTCTGCCTATCCCAGCTTCAGCTTTATCCTTTATAAAAGGAGGATAACAGCCCCTCTTGGTAGGAAGGGTTCGGTGAAATTGGTCATTCCCTTCCTGAACTTCTCTTCCTTCCCCTTCCCTGACACCACTCTTCTGGTCATCTGCGTCTCCTGTCTCCTTTGTGGGCTCTTCTCCCCTTCAGTACTGGGTTTCCATTTTTGGTCTCCCATTCTTATTCCTAGCTTTCCTTGGGTGACTCCTTTCAAATCTATGGTTTCAGCTATCACCCAAATTCAAACTACTCCTGAACCTTGATCTTCAACTAGATCTCACACCTGAAATCTAGCTGTACAAGTGTTTAATGGCCGTGAGCATTTGGATGCCTCAAAGATAAACATGTAGAACTAGACTCCACAACACTCAACCCCAGTCCCACAATGTTCCTTTTCTCTGATTTGTGGAACTCTCCCCAGCAGCAGGTATCCATCCTAGTCTGTTATCTGCTATTCTCAATCAGGCCCCAGTTTGTGCTGATTTTACCTCCTAAATCTCTCACACCTCCTTCCTCCTCTCCGTCTGTCTTATTTTACACTTTAAATATCACCAAGACCTTTTCAGTCACAAACATACCAGACTCCACAGTGATATAGAAATGAGTTTTCTCAGTTGCTCAGGGTACAAATCCCAGTTCTACCACATACCAGCTGCATGGACAAGGGCATCGCTTCTGTTACCTTACTATTTATTTCTGATATGAGGACTACTGAGTTTTCTGCTCAGGTAGCTGCTACTTCAATGTTAAAATAGACCCAGTCATAATATAAAGAACTCCAAACAGTTTGATGTAGTAATAGGTCAGTCCACCTTCAAATTATGGTGATTAAAGTACAAAATGGGGACTGGCCCTGAAGCAAATTGCTGATGTACCATCCATCAGGGTTGCAGCAGAGACTGGGCTGGCACCAAGTAGGAACTTGGCATGAGGTTCCTTCTCCAGTTTCAAATTCTGTTTCAAAATAGGTAAGGGAAAACTATGATCATAGCTTCTTTTAAAAAGTTTTTATTGTGATCTCTTATTTTTATACCTGAGTAACAACTTTCCCAAAGGGATGATGATACATAATCTTTATTCTAAAAAAGATGTATAGATAGTATATTGATAGCATTTCATCAGTGGTATCATTGATTGTCTTAAAATTCCTTGGTTAAGCCCTGACTGGTGTGGCTCTGTTGGCTGGGCTTCATCCCACAAAGCAAAAGGTTGCCAGTTTGATTCCTGGTCAGGACACATGCTTGGGTTGTGGGTTCAGTCCTTGGTCACAGCTTGTGCAGGAGGCAACCGATTAATGTTTCTCTCACACGTTGATGTTTCTCTCTTCTTTCTCCCTCCCTTCTCCTCTCTCTAAAAAAAAAAAAAATCTTGGTTAAGTTCTTCCTTTTACTTTTTAATCCTTGGTAATGACACCAGAGCAGTCCTTTCCTTCTACTTCTTGTCATCCTGACATGATCTGGCATTACACTCTGATCTCTCTCAAGAGCAAGATACAGGGACTTGTTCTGGATTCCCTTGGACAAGTGCAGCTAGGATACTCAACAAGCTAGGCTTCCATTTACAGAGCTTTTTTCATCACCATTTTTTTAAAAAAATTAAGACCAGTAGAGCTAAATTATAAGCGCAAGATTTGTGTTTGTCTTGGGGACTGACAGGCCCCACAGCCTGAGGATCACCTCAGCTAAGCCAAGGCTTCATCATGATGAGGCTAAGAGCAAAGATCTGTCTCCAACTTTCCTCCAACAAAGGAAGGGGTCAGCCAGGAGGTAAACGTCCTTGCAAAAGCAAAGAGCATCAGGTATTCTGCTGACTCTTGAAGCCACATATGTAGAGCCATAAGCCTTGCTCTCGATTCTTAAAGGACCTGTCTGGGATGGTTTCGCTTTATTTCCTGGGTGATAGGGCCAGTGGGGGGCAGTCAAGGCTTCAGGCTCCTCATGGTAGTCACTACATACCCCTTGTTCTGTGGTGCCCAAGAAATGTGCTGGCCCCCACTCTATTTGTGTCTTGTGACCTTTCTTAATCTGGTATATCCTCGCCAGAAAAACCCTTACTCTGGAGTCTTCCTACTCCTTTTTTTTCTTATTTGTGCTGGTGCTTCAGTTGGATGGATGTGCTTCTACAGTGGGCTCTGGTTCCAGAGGAGCAGATGGTGGCCAGAGTTCTCAGTTCCATAATTCCAAAAGAAATCATTATTTTCACTGTTAAATTTCAAGAAACCCCATATATCCTGGGACCAGTGGGACTGTGGTATAGCTTTGCAGCGATGAAGTTATGTCATAACTGAAGAAATAAAGCAACAGTTGAGTTTGCCTTCAATGACTCACTAATAGAAATCTTTAATTACCTGCACCATGCCAACTCACAATAAGTCAGTGAGGATTGAGGCAAGACTACATAACCAAAAATACTGTGATATGTCTCTAAACTTGTAAAGTCCCAGTGTACGAACCATCCAACTGAGCCAGTAACTATTAGCTAATACACAACTTGCCTTGTAGAAGAGCCAATTTGGCCACCCTGTGGCTTCCCCCCTTGGAGACAACATTACACTGGACATGCTCTAAGTCTGAAAAGTGCAGGCTTCACTCAAAGCAGTAACCTCTGCTGGCACACGTGGCTGTACCCATGAAGTCGTCAAGTTGCCGGGTGACCTCCTACCTGAGGGGAGCTTCCTGTATGCAGCTGCTGAAGACATGGCCTGTCCTAGAGCTTGATTAGAGCCCAGGGGCTGCTGGAAACAGGCAGCTTTGCTGGCTGAAGTGGTCCGGTGCTGTGATTTGGGATCTTTAGCTGGTTTAGTCCAGACCAGTGCCTCCCCAACATGGAGAGCAGCTCCCAACTTCTGAGCCACCTCCACCATCTTGTACCCACATGGGAAGAAATAAAGAATCAAGGTGTGACCAGCAGAGACAAGCCCACCCACCTCTTCTTAGAACTTCCTCCCAGGGGGGTTTTAGTCAAAATACTGACTACTGGTACTAGCATTTGAGGGAAGAAGTACTTATTGCAAGGAAATCTTTCTCAAACAGAAGGAAACACAGGCTGCCCTTAGTGGATGGCAAGGAAGTCCATCTAGGATCTCAAACAACAATTCAAGTTTGGTGTGTTATTGGGCTCAGCCGCACCTTTCCTACAGGAGAAGTGGGAGGAAGCTGCAATAAGATATAGGCCTCAACTCAGATGAGTTGTATTATCAATAACAGATTCAGTAAGCCTGAATTTCCCCTTACTACTTTCCTCCAGGGAAGGTTTTCTCTGGCTGTTACTAGTTGAATAATTCATGCTGCCAGGAACACCAAAGCCAAAACAAACATGAGTTTATAATAGGTTATATTTGGATTATTTGGGCTTGATTCAAAAGTTTCCTGACAGCTTGCTTATAACTCCTAGGAGCTAATAAAAGACATACCTCAGAGTCAAATTCCAGAGAGCTGCTCTCCTTGAGTAGGTTGACTTTCTTCTCCATCTCCTGATACTGGGCCAGGGCGTCCCTCTTCTGGCCCTGATTGTACAGCAGCACAGCGTAATTGAGGTTCACTAAAGGGTTACACCTGCGGCAACCGGACAGGAATTCGATGGAGCTTAGGGTTTGCAACAAATGGTCATTTGGAGATCCTCATGACACAAAAACAAAATAAAACTGATTATAAGTAGAGATTTCTCCATTGTGCAGCAAGGTAGAAACACCCATGGTGTGTGGACTTGTGGGGAAAAATCAAGGAATAATTGCCCAACAAGGAAAGCAGGTAATTACCTGCACCATGCACCATGCCAACTCATGGTAAGGCAGTCAGTGACAATTAAAGGAAGACTTCAAAACAGAAAGTACTGTTAGTATATTTCTAAACATGATTATTGTAAAGTCCCAATGTACTAACCATCCAATCAAGCTAGAAACGCTTACATAGTACACAGCTTGCCTTAAAGAAACAAGAGCCAATTGGGCCATCCTTAGCAGAGACCACCAAGGTGGGTTGAAGAAGGGGTCTCTACCCTGCTGCCTGGCTGATGCCAGTGGAATAACTCCCAAGAGAGTCAAAGATTTAACTAAGCCCAGAGTCACATCTCATATTCCAGCTAGCCCGAGGGTATGCATCAGCAGTCCAAGTCCACTGCCAGCTGATTTTCTCTGGCCTCCTGGCTACTAAGCTTGAGGCTAGAAACACTTTCTCAGAAAGTGCCAGTGTCAGCTCCTGCTGAGCCACTGCAAGCTTAGCATCACATCCACACTTAGGCCTTGTGCACAGAGGCCATGGACAGCAAGCATCTGGCGCCACCTCGTGGCCTTGGAGACTCTAGCCCTCCCCAATACCATTTCCTGCGCAGCAGCTTACTTATCCAAATGGACTGCTTCTGCGTAGACTCTCTTGGCATTCTCAGTATCTTCGAGATTGGTCAGAGCCACTGCAACAACAACAAAAACAACAACAACAACAAAAATAAAAAAATAAAACAGAACTGCAGCTAGAAAGCCCAGCTTAGAAAGAAAAAGGAGTATTTCAAGACCATAGTTCATTCAACCGCAAATTTAACTGCTCCTTGGCCCGCTCAGCTCTCGACACCACCTTCTACTCAATCACTCAGTCCCCAAGTTCTCTGAATCCCATTTTTTTACAGTTTCTTTTTATGACATTACACAAATTGTCTCAGGCTGTGGCAGTGTCCTCCTCTGCCTCCATCCACCTGCCACCATGCTGCCAGCTTTCTCACTGACTTACAAACAAATCTGAACATGTCACTATCCCACTTAAGAATCCTCACGGATCCTCAATCATCTGTGACCATGATATTTAAACTCCGTTTAGTGCCAGGTCACTCTCACCTTTTTAATCAGTATCTTCTGGAAGCCTCACCTATAAAACAGTGACACAGCTGCTCTGGAAGCCCTGTGCACATCCCCTCCCCACCAATGTGCACGCACTTCTGGAAGACACTGCAGGGGAGATCCCGGAATAGAGCTGGAAGAGCATGGCCTCAAGGATAAAGTCTAAAGTCCTTGCACTACACTGTGGCCCTCCGTCATGTGACCTCCAAATGTTCCTGACTCACCTCCCCACTCCCTTCTGTAACACTGCTCCCTGCTAATGGCAGGGTCCTCATGTGACTAAATTCCAGCTTATCTTCGAGAACAGTGTGAAAGCCCTCTCTACTCTGTGACTAAGGCAATTTGTTTACATTCCTGTCTCTATTACAACGAGGCTAGCTTTGCACTTAGACAACCCCCAAATAAACATCACTCAATTTGCTTTTGCAACCTTTCTCTTATAAATAAGAACCCCACAATAATGCCCCCCCAAAAGCACCAGAAGACCAGTGTCAATGAAAACACGCAAACTGCTTTTGGGCTTACATTTAGTAAGTTCAGTATATGGAAAACTATCCCCTAGAAAGAATAATTCAGTCAATACTTTTGTATTATAGTTGCTAACAATAAAACCAATAGTTAGTGTTCACTAGTTATTTAATCATGTAATCCCCTCACCAACCCTGTAAGATATATATCTTACATTTGATGAAATCTGGAACTTATATATATAGATGAATTGTCAAGCTGAGGGAAAACATTTGGTAAAAGATAAACTAAGGGTGATCATGATTTAACCTGCTGGTCTCTGAGGGAAATTCCCCCAAGGTAGAAGCAACCTAGCACTTTGTCATTTTCTTCATTGTTCTCCAAGCTCTAGCACTGTAATCCACATTCCTATTGTTGGGGGGATTCAAGAGTGCGAAAATTTTAGTTTTAGGTAATAGTTAGTAAGCCTAGTAGTTAATGCATGTGAAAAGCTACTGTCTCAGGAACTGCAGTACGGCCCACCCTGACTCCAGGAGACCACAAGCGACTGGCCTTTGTGCTCCAGGGGAGACCATCAGCAGCCAAGGTGGTACCCAAGCCACTGTGTTCCAGGGAGAGACAGTCTGCAGCCCAGGACACAGATAAAGAAAATTGCCCAGGACACAGGAAAAGAAAATGATGGGTCAGTGGATGAAAGGATATTAGGGAAATTGCGGGACTGCAGCTTTTATCTGATTAACCTCTTTCCTGAGTCCCTAATCCCTTACCTACACTTTTCCCACCTTTTAAAGGCTAGCTTGAAAAGGAAGGTAAGATGGTCTGTTAGGGCGCAAACCCACTATCTTCTCAGATCCCCAGCCATCTGAATAAAGCTCCCATAAAGACTCAATCCCTGTCTCTGCTCATTGGGTCTGGTAGGTGACAGGCAGCACGAACCCCAGCTTTTCTGGTTTCACTATGGAATCTGCAAGGGAATGGCTTCTATGGGACATTTAGCCACTGGCATCCAATGACACTAATTCATTTTCCCCTAATTACAGATTGTGGAGAGGGTTCTCCACTTGTCTCTTACCAGCCAAGAGCATGTAGAGCTCCGCCATCTTCGGCTGGAAGTTGATGGCTGCACTGAGAAAATGGAAAGCTGATGCATACTGCTGCATGGTCAAGTGCACAAGGCCCAGATTATAGAGAATCTTCCAATCAAAGGGTGCCAAGTAGTTGGCTCGTTTCAGGCAGCTGATAGCCTGTAGGAGAGAGAGGCATTCAATGAGGGTGGGGCATGCTGGGCAGATCCACTAATGGCATGCATGAACACAAAAAAGGAAGGCAAGAAGACACTCACTGCTACGTATTTCTTCTTGCCAAAGAAACACATTCCAATGTTATTCCAGAGTGGAGGACTTTCTGGAACAGCACAAGCTACAATTCTGTATTTGGTGAGGGCAACATCAAAGTCTCCATGGGTCTGCATCATGCTGCCTGCTGCCAAAATGGCCTGAAAACACAGGACACGCACGGCTGATGATTCAGTCATTCCCAAAAGGCTGTGGCAGTGAGGGGGCCTTCCTGGGTGTTGATACTCTGCATAACATGACTTGAAAAGTTCCAGGGACATAATACCGTATTTTGCTGTGTATGATATGCACTTTTTTGCCCAAATTTTTAAGGGAAGAATAAGGATGCACATTATACATGGATATAATGATTACATACGATGGGTATAATAATCCCATGTATAATGTACACAAAAACATGCATGCACATTATACACGGCAAAATACGGTTTAATGTATTCAAGCTATTGAGATAAATGATAATGAGAAATGTCCCTGCACCCCACACTGTGGCTCTTTTTGGAACAGTACAGAAAAAGAAAAGATAAAATATCACTAACTTTACCCAGCTCATTTGTTTCCTACTTCTCACCTTGAGACAAGTCAGTATTTCTGAGCCTCAGAGCCCTTTAAGTAAATACTGCCTTAATCTGTTCCCCACAGCCCCCGTGCACCAAGTGCTGCTCCAGACAACTCAAATACTCCTTTCTTTGCCACTTAAGGTATGGCTCCTTCTGCCACAGGACAAAGGGTGGCTCAGCTGTAGGCCTCCTCAGTCCAGCTGTCAGGTGGGGAGCCGATGGGAGTCAGGCTAATACAAATCTGAGACAGGATGAGTCTGTATCCTTCACAGCCTGTTTGCTGCATCTCCCTCAGTGATATTCATCCAGTTGATGATCTTCTCATCCCTAAAGACACATCTGGACAAGAGTTCTAATTGCAAATTCATTAAGAATCTGGAAGTCATTTCACCAGAAGTTATTTCTGACAGCAGTTTTGGAAGTTGTGCTAATTTCCTACATACAGTACATAAAACTTTACCAGCACTACAACGTCACTTTCTGCACAAGACACAGGCCTAACAAATATGCTCTTTTAAAAAAAAGATTTTATTTATTTATTTATTTACTTATTTCTTTATAAGGAAAAGGAGGGAGAAAGAGAAGGAGAGAAATACAGATTGGTTTCCCCTTGCACACTCCCTACTGCAGACCTGGCCCACAACGCAGGCACGTACCCTGACTGGGGATCAAACTGGCAACCCCTTGGCTTGCAGGCTGGCGCTCAATCCACTGAGCCACACTACCCAGGGCACAAATGTATTTATTGATTTGAGAGAGAGAAACATCGATCTGTCGTGCCACTTATTTATGCCTTCATTGGTTGCTTCCTGTATGTGCCCTGACAGGGAGTCGACCCCCAACCTTGGCGTATTTGGGATGACACTCCAACCTACTGAGGTACTGGCCAGGGCACAAATGTGCTCTTTTGAAAAATAAGAAACAGACCACCAACACTTTACAATATTTTCAAATAAGAAGATCCACATTTATAATTTTTCTAAGCAAAAGGTAATTTCTCAGGTATTCAAAATGCTTTCCCGGGCCAGGTCGTCTCTAAGAGCAGTGGGACCATCATATGTGAGAGGCTCTGGGGTGTGATAGCCTGTGGTACCTTGTAGTTGGTAGGGTCGTAAGTCAGTGCATTTCCAAGGTATTCAAATGCCTTCTGGTAAATGCCAAGCTTGAAGAAAAAGCAAATCAGAGAATTTTATCAGCGGGGAGATGAGAGTTAAGGAGTCTGGCCAAACATACCCTGAAGCATCCTGACTTTCCTGAGTTCTGTTGATGAAAAGAGAGCTACAGATACCAGATAGAACTACATTTGTCACCTGATAATATTAAAGTATCTATTTGCCAGGAACCACCTCTGTCACACTAGTGCTGCTGCACACTAATGTCTCTAGGCAGGAAATAGGCTGATTAGCTTCATCTCCCCTGAGGCCAACCTCCTAAGACAAAGCAGGAAGGTCCAGGGTTAAACTCCAATTCCTTTTAAAGAAAGAGGAAACAGACAGAAAGGCTACCAAAGGGGCAGAGCTGGAAGCAAGATCAGCTGAGCAGGGAACTAGGGGAGTAAATGGGGGAATGGGATGGGTAGAAGCCCCTCTCGGACACCTCGGCCCCAGTTCTCAGACTGCTAAGAGGAACTGATGGAGCTAAAATAACTTCATTCACACTCAGGAAAGTGGAGAGGAGAGGAGACTGATTTCTTATTCTAGACAATGTTTTGCCTTCTCTCTCCCATAGGACCTGGCTGGGAAGAAGGAACAATAGAAATAGCCTCAGCTCCAAAGCCCAGACGGTGCTAACTTGTATCACAAAATGACAGTCCCCCACAACAAAATGACAGTTCCCATGACCAGACAGTTATTTCTTACATATGTTCTTCCCTTTAAAAGTTGTAATTGCAGAACTTCCGACTAAGATGGAGGCATAGGTAGACACACTGTGCCTCCTCGCACACCAAGATAGGGACAACAATTTAGAAACAAAATAACAACCAGAACTGACAGAAAATTGAACTGTATGGAAGTCAGACAACCAAGGAGTTAAAATAGACCTGTTCATCCAGATAGGTAGGAGGGGTCGAGTCAGGTAGCCAGGCGTGGTTGCAGAGCAGAGAGCATTAGGACCGGGCACATAAGGCATCCGGGGCTTGCAAGACCACAGCGGGTGGACCCTGAGCACGCAAGTGGCAGCTGGCAGACCCAGGGAGGCAGGAATTGTGAAGCAAGGCACTGCGCGCAACCCAGGATCCCAGCGCTGGGAAATAGAGCCTCGGGACATTGACTGAAAACACCTGTGGGGGTTGAGGCGAAGGGAGAGACTCCCAGCCTCACAGGAGAGGTCCTTGGAAAGTCCTGCAGAGTACACAAGCCCATGCACATGGGAATTGGCACCAGAGGGGCCCAGTTTGCTTGGGGGGAGTGGTGGAAGGGACTGAGGTCAAGGAGAGCGGAGCAAGCGCCATTGTTCCTTCTCAGACTCCGCCCCCACAGACAGCTTCACAACCCAGCCACTGGGTTGCCCTGAACTGGTGAACACCTAAGGCTCCGCCTCTCATGCGTAACAGGTGCGACCAGACCAAAGGGGCGGGGGATGGCTCAAGCAGAATGAAAGCCCCCACAGCCAGTACTTTTAAGTGTCTGAGAGATAGCCAACCTATCGGATGCACAGTTCAAAGTACTGGTGATCAAGATGCTCACAGAATTGGTTGATTTTGGTCACAAATTAGATGAAAAAATGAAGGCTACCCTAAGTGAAATGAAGGAAAATGCACAGGGAACCAATAGTGATGGGAAGGAAACTGGGACTCAAATCAATGGAATGGACCAGAAGGAAGAAAGAAACAACCAAACAGAAAAGAATGGAGAAATAAGAATTCAAAAAAATGAGGAGAAGCTTAGGAACCTCCAGAATATCTTTAAATGTTCCAACATCCAAATTATAGGAGTACCAGAAGGAGAACAGGAAGAGCAACAAGTGGAAAAGTTATCTGAACAAATAATAAAGGAGAACTTCCCCAATCTGGCAAAGGAAATAGACTTCCAGGAAGTCCAGGAAGCTCAGAGAGTCCCAAAGGAGTTGGACCCAAGGAGGAACACACCAAGGCACATCATAGTTACATTAGCCAAGGTAAAAATGAAAGAGAGAATCCTAGAGGCAGCAAGAGATAAGGAGACAGTAACCTACAAAGGAGTTCCCATGAGACTGACAGCTGATTTCTCAAAAGAAACCTTGCAGGCAAGAAGGGGCTGGAAAGAAGTATTCCAAGTCATGAAAGGCAAGGACCTACATCCCAGATTGCTCTATCCAGCAAAGCTTTCATTTAGAATGGAAGGGCAGATAAAGTGCTTCTCAGATAAGGTCAAGTTAAAGGAGTTCATCATCACCAAGCCCTTATTTTATGGAATGTTAAAGGGACTTATCTAAGAAAAAGAAGATAAAAAATATGAACAGTAAAAAGACAGCAAACCCACAGTTATTAACAACCATACCTAAAACAAAGGCAAAACAAACTAAGCAAAGAACTAGAACAGGAACAGAACCACAGAAAGGGAGATCATATGGAGGGTTATCAACAGGGGAGTGGGAGGAGGAGAGAAGGGGAAAGGTACAGAGAATAAGTAGCATAGACGGTAGGGAGAAAATAGAGGGAGGGCAAGAATAGTATGGGAAATGTAGAAGCTAAAGAACTTATGACACATGGACATGAACTGAAGAGGGGAATGTGGGTGGGAGAGGGTGTGCAGGGTGGAGGGGAATGAGGGGGGTAATGGGACAACTGTAATAGCATAATCAATAAAATATATTTTTAAAAAATAAAAAAATAAAAGTTGTAATTGCAGTTCTGATTTGAGTGCAGAAAACTAAGTTAATTCCTTTAACATATAAGGTTCATGTGCTTCATACGAGCTTTAGTGAAATGTGTTAATCAAAATGCAAGGAAACCACAATATACATAATCCAAAAGCATTTCTAACATCAGTGCATGAAAGAGTAAAGAGTTCTCCTTACCTGTAAGTACAGTAATCCTAAAGTTGTGAGAAGTTCTGTATTTTCTGGTGAGAATCTGCAACACAAAGATCAATACAGAGACACTCAGAGGGAAACATATGGATGAGACACTGAGGCACACGCACAGTAACATGCCCATGTGTGTGGCATCTGAGAGACTCTACTGCATGCCCCACATGCCACAGAAAGTGTCCCAGGTGCCCGGGGAACTGCCTTCAACCATAGGTCATCCCAACCCTGGCTACAGGAAGGGCTGCTGAATGAGAAAGAAATGGGGTTTAGAATCCAGACTCCCTTTCAGGACCTTTTCTTAGGGTCAAAGTCCTAAGAAAGAGCCTATGGAATATTTTGTGTGATTGTCTTCAATACACTGATAGAATTAAAAAACAATGCTTTATTAACTGAGTCAGTCTGGAACACACATAGTTTTAGCCAGTTCTCTTCAGGTAGGATTTTTTTCTGTTCTCACTCTACTCACAGTGGTAGTCTGAATAATTTTCTCTGTAATTTAGGATCCCAAGGTTCTAATACTCTGCCCTCCACATTAAACAAAAGGCCATAATAAATAGCCATATTGAACAAAAGAAAGAAGACATATCAGCTCTAGGAAAGAATTAGCTACTGGATTTGGGGAGTAAACACTGGTATTTATACCTTACTGATATTTATCTTTGTTACAAAATCAAAGCAACGCTGAGCTGATCTGGCTATAGGATCATCAGACAGTTTCAACAGTAAAAATGCCAAAAGCAAGGAACAATGTCTCATGCTTCTAAGGAATGACACAGGGCTCTGGTTACTTATGGGAAGACCAGATCAGATGGGCCACAGCCCCTGACAGGGAGGCCTGAGCCGGCTAAACAGAGCTTACTCAGTTCAACTATTTGCCCTTCACCTGTGCTATAGTAAATATCCATTCTGATCACCTCTTTCCCCAAACTAAGTAACTCCCATGATTCTGGTGGCGTCCATCCCCCCACCAAAACATAACTGCCATCTCTAAGCTGTGGGTCTCCAAATTCTCAGTATGCTCAGTATGCTCAGTATGCTCAGTATGCTCAATTCTCCATATGCTCAGCTGCCCACTTTTTGCCTTGAAAATTTTTGTGACTTAAGTCCTCTACCAGCCTCTGGATGAATATCACCCTTCACACTTATGTGAGTTAATCTTTTAAAAGGTAGGGGTCACAGGTGAGGGCTCCTTCCTACTTATCCACATAAATTTATCCTCTTGATAACAAAAGTCTCTCTTGTAAGTTAACAAACCAAAGGATTTTTATATCTTTTTAGACACAAATTATGAATAAAATTCAGAAAGCTGTATTGTGACTGATATAACCAGAAAAGTTATGACATTACAACTATGGTAGAAGACAAAGGTGATTAACAAATTAATTTAACAAAGGAAGTTTAGTTCATAGCCTAATTACCAGAAATAGTAGACTCTGTGACCAGGCATCCTGTTAAGTGACTGAACAAACGAGACACTAAAGCACTTTGCTACAACTATCCTACTTGAGATAAGACCCTACACAGAAAAGGCAAGATAGCATGTGTTTCTAGAGAGGGAAGATGGAACGCCATCCTGGGAAAGTCAGTTCCATCATTAATAGGGGTTTGGTCTCCTCTAATGCTGTTTTAAAAAAAAAACAACAAGGTATTGGTCTCATGCTAATAATCCATCCTCCTCTCAAGCACATGTGCCCACTTCCCTTGTAGCTGATTGCGGCCACCTCACTAAATTCGAACCGAGGAATGAGAGCAGGAATGCTGTGTGCAACTTCTGGGCCATTTGAAACACTATTAGCTGTTTATTCAGTACTTAGTCTCCTGTACCACCTCCCCCACCACAACCTGGAACATGGATGCTATAGCAAGTCGGTTTCAACCATGCAGGGGAAGACAACAACCTGAGGAATGATAGGTCAATAAAGAGGGGGCCTGGATCCCTGACTGACCTTGTAGAGCAGAGCTGCCCAGCTAGGCTAAACCAGCCATATTAATAAGTGAGAAAGAAATACAAGTCTTCATTATTTAAGCCATTGGGAGCTCTTAACCATAGCTTAACATTTACTATAATTCATACAACTAGTTATCAGTTACATATTCTGTCTTAGGTTCGGGAGTTCATATACCTGCTCCCATTTTTTTTAAAGTTGTTCCTTGCTCTAAAGGAATCAGACACACTTACTCCACAGCTTTCTTGTAAATTTCGACGGCTTTGTCCAAGTTTCCCTCCAGCAAGTGAATCTTCCCCAGCATTATGTAAGTCAGGTCATGCCTGTTAAGATGTAGGGCATGGTGCAACTGGTCTCGTGCCTAACAAGGTTGATGAGATAAAGAGAACCGAATCACTGCCATGAAAAGGGAGTGCCTAAGGGTGAGAACAGAGCTCCTGCTGTACTAACGTAGGAATGTCACATTTCAAAACAGAGCCCTCAATGCCCCAAAACAACACCACATACCAAAACTGTAGCTGGAAACATGGAGTATCTGCCTCTGGAGCCACTTGGAAGAGTTTATACAAGATGATTAACTTTTTTGAGTGTTTCCTGTTTCTTGCTTCTTGCTAATCATACCCATGACTCACACTTCGCAAGTCAAAAGGGACATCATAGTACAGTATACAGTGCTGCCCAGCTGCACCAGTGACCAACCTTTCCCAGAGTGGACCTCTAATTTTCCTCACTAATATTTTGATAAATCAATGGATTGTTCTCATTTACTCACTCAACATGTATTCACTGAGTGCCTGTTGTTCTAGGTGCTTGCTATACTAGAGCTAACAAACAAACTCCCTGCTCTGAAAGAACTTATATCCTTCTTGTAGACAGTCATGTAGGGGAACCATGCAGGGGAAGACAACAACCTGAGGAATGATAGGTCAATAAAGAGGGGGCCTGGATCCCTGACTGACCTTGTAGAGCAGAGCTGCCCAGCTAGGCACTCACTGATCCAGTCGCTCACTGATCCAGTGAGTATTTGCATAAATGTCAAGTATTATGTTTGCTGTTAGTGTCAGGATGGGCGGGGTAGGACAATTGGGAACCTAGTTACAATTAGCATTTTGGACTACAAATATGGCCACCGTTTGGACTACAAGTAATATGATGACTGAACTCTAACCCAGAAGAGGTGACTGATGTCAGACCAGGAACCACTAATGATATGTTGCTTCTTTGTTCACCGAGAACCAATCCTTGGCTCCCTCAAGAAGTCAAGCCATATAAAACTCCCACCCTTTCCCTTCTCCTGCCATCTTTTCTTAGCCCTTTCTCCAGGCAGAGGAAACCTCGCCGGGGAGCACAAACTTCCAAAATAAAGCTCATCTGCCTGTTTCCATGGCTAATTGGCTGTTTATTTCCTCGGCGGGGTCTAAAAAACCTTACAGTTAGCTTTACAGTAAAATCTAAATATAATCTCATTCTCTTTACAGGTCTGACCAAAGGCCAATTCCGCCTCTTCCTTAGCTCAGAATAATCGTGTTAACAGAAATGTACTTGCTTAGATTATCCTCTGAAGAGAACAATCTCCTAACCAAGTATAAAACACTGTAAGATCTTCCCAAAAACCCGACACACTAAATATATATTTTTAAATTCATATATATTAGTCATTTATTATATATTTCAGAAGAGTAAAAGTTATTCTCACATCTCAACTGCTGGTGTACAGATTTTTTTTTCAACTCCTGAGGGATAGATTAAATACTGTCAAATGGATATTAACTAACTCAGATTCTCAGTCCCACTGGCACTGGAGAGAAGAGAATAAAATTTCTCAGTCACTCCAGAATCACAGTAGAAGCTTCATGAAGGAAATTCTGGACAACCCCACTATCATTAACTTTCAGAGCTCTCAGTAATTTAGTCTCCCCCTCAGTTAGGATACATACATTTTTTTCTCATATCTGAGTACCAAGGTAAGCTCAAATGTTTTATCTTATATAAAGCTGTACAGCCTACAGCTTAATCACAATGAAATATAAATTCTCACATGGAAAATAACCTTAAAAACTGAAACTCTTTAGAAATCATACCCACTTATAACTTAAAATTCATCTCTAATGACCTAAAAGCTAAAACCAGTTGCTGTCAGAGCACAAGAGAGCTCACATGGTCTCTTCTTATACTTTTTAATATCTAAGTTTTATTGAGCACTTGTTTCTATACTGGAAAATTAAACTGGGGTTAGAGAAAAAGAGAGGACAAAGCAATTAGAGTACCATTCCCTCATATTTCTAGAATGTCTCATTTTCTTGTTAAAAGCAGAGGGGGAAAGGGGTGGATAAAAGTTCTGGCTGGTGTGGCTCAGTGGACTGTGTTGGCCTGCAAACCAAAGGGTCACTGGTTTGATTCCCAGTCAGGGCACCTGTCTGGGTTGTGGGCTGGGTCCCTGGTTGGGGGCATGTCAGAGGCAACTGGTTGATGTATCCCTCCACACATTGATGTTTCTCTCCCTCTCTTTCTCCCTCCCCTCCCATTTCTCTAAAAATAAGCAAATAAAATTTTCTTTTTTTAAAAGGTGGAAAATAACAAATAAGAAAATGGGGACAAATGCATGTGGCACTTTTTACTTCCCAAAGTCTCTGCAAGCACAAGGAATAATACACAGTAGCAATGGCACCTTTGTAACAAATGTACCCTCAGTGAAATCACCAGACAACTGCTGCACTGCCCCCAACATTTCTATAAATTACCTTGTTGAACTGTTTCAGATAAATGTAGCAAACTCCTAGGTTATGACAGATCTCCTACACACAAAAGAAAAGATCCGGCTTAGGTTCCACAGTACATATTAGAGTGAAAAAAACAAACACCTAGAGATTGTTATTGTTTAGCAAAGTTTAAACTTTACATTATGCACTACAGTTAGTTTTTTATGATATTTCATACTCAAAATATATTTAATACTAAAACATGGGTTCCTTAATATTAAAAAAACCCACAGATTAAAAGAGATAAAAGTAGAACAAACAGAAGGTTTTGGATCTGTGTGGTACCTTAGGGGCTGTGTGGTACATACCCAGCCCATCCCCATACTTTTCCTCTCTAAGAGATGCCCACTGCCCACATCCTTCGTGCTCTCATTTCAGAAGACTACCCACAGCCCCTGCCTCACCATAGAGATATGGACACATCTATGTGTCTGTTAGATTCCCTTTCCTAGGAATCTAAGAATTCACTAGATGATGTGAACTTGGGGACTGATAGCACCATCTGCAAGGCACTATGATGGAATATCTGTATTTGGAGTAAGTCTGCAGATGCACACAGCAGAGGTGAGCAAACTGACAATCACAGACCAAATCTGTCTCTGCCTTTTTTTGTAAATAAAGTTTTATTGGCATTGTCTATAACTCTTTCACACTAGAACTTCAGAGTTCAGTAGTTGCAACAGAGACTATATGAAGTCACAAAGCTTAAAATATTGACTAGCTGGCCCTTCACAAAAAAATGTTTGCCAAATGCTGATCTACAAAAAGACAAAATGAAACAAATGCAGAGTAGCTACCCTGGTTGCTGACAGTTTTCCATTCTAGATCACTTCAAGACCAACTTGTATTTCCTAACCTTGACTTTTACAGAATCTCCCGAATTCCCTTTATTAAACCTCCCTACATTTAACCCTGACCAGTGTGGCTCAGTTGGTTGGGCATCATTCCATAATGTGAAAGGTCACTGGTTTGATTCCTGGTCAGAGCACGGGCCTGGGTTGCAGGTTTGTGCCCGATTGGGGTATGTACGAGAGACAACCAATCAAAGTTTCTTTCTCTCTCTTTCCCATTCCTTTTCCCTCTCTCTAAAAATTTAAACAAAAATTTAAAATCTTAAAAAAAAAAACCTCCCTTAATTTAAGATAGCTTAGAGAAAGGAGAATGCCCCCAGAAAGAAAGTGAGGTTATCAAAAGGAATCAGAATAATAGCAAACTGCTCAGTAGCAGCACTCACTGCCAGAAAACCATGCAGCAGGGTCTACTAAGTTAAACAGACACATGACTTTCGATCTTATACCTAGCTAAATTGCCAAGCTAGTATGAATAGAAAGACATTTGGGGGCATGTAAGAATTTAATAACAACAAAAGACAGCCATATGATAAACAGATAAACAGATAAACAGATAAACTATTAACATGTTACTAATAACAAAGAACTTAGTTTCCTACTTACCCAATCTTTCTGGTTAAGTTTAGCTGCTTCGTTATATACTTCAGTGGCAGCTTTATGTTTTCCCAAAAGAAATCTGTGGAAGAAATGCATTTTCCATAATAACTTTTAAAATCCTCACCTGAGGGTATGTTTTTATTGATTTTAGAAAGAGAGAAACGATGTGAGGAACAAACATTGATCAGCTGCCTCCTACACGCGCCCCTACCAGGGATCAAACCCACAACTTAGGTATATGCCCTGACCAGGGATCGAACCTGCAAACTTCTGGCATATACTATACATTGTATAGGATGACACGCTGACCAACTGAACCATTTGGTCAAGGCTACATTTTCCATAATTATTAACTCAAAGCTTTTCTAACCCTAACCCCTCTAGTCCCACATCTGACTCAGAGTCCATCCAGCACAGAGTTCTGGAAGCCTCTCCCTAGAGCTCGTTATGCTGGCTTGGCCAGTGAGGCTGCCGTGCAGCAAGAGCAGAACTTTCTTGCTAGGGACTACACTGGTAGTGGTCCCAGGGCCTTGGTCCCATCCTACACCAATATTAGTGGGTCTTCTATAATTTACTTTCCACAGTGTACTACAAATGTAGACCAAAAAAGTAAAAAGCTAAATATTTTATATAGCATGTTAAGCAAGAGTTGACATCATTTACCACCAACGTCTATGAGGGACACGGCCTGCCCTCCCAAGCCTAAGTCTCTGTCCCCGATATTGGATAATGGTTCTGGAGACACTGAGGAAAAATGGGCTCTATGCAAAGACAGAGCAGGTATAAATCACAACATAGGTAAGAAAGTAATGACGGGAACCCCACAGAACACTTTTACTACTTTACTGGAACACTTTACTAGTGTAGTAAAGATATTAGTGTACCTAATGGCTTAGACTTTGGAAGTCGCTTGAATTCAGAAAACTTCAGGGCATCCACTAACAAACACTAAAAACCTACAGAGTTTCAATAGAGTATTATGCTAAGTGTTGCATGAGAAAATTACCATGGTTGGCAATAAGATCAGGGGCCTGAGGGCACAAAATGTCACTGTTTATATAACCAGTATCAGTGTTCCCCTGTCAAACTAGAACAATACAGTGTTTGAAATATTTAATTTCTCTATATGAATTATTTTGTCAAATTTTAAAGTTAAACCTACACTCTTCAAGTGTATCTTTAGAGATCTCTTCCTCTAGGTATCAGGCTGACGAGGCAGCCAGAAGCAGCCTCTGCCTGAGAATGCTCATCACACTGTTTTCTGTGAGTGCCCCGGGGTCCACAGGCTGCCCTTACTCACAGAGATCTGGCCACCTGCTTGAGGTTATCAGCACACTGAGGGCTGAGAACAGCACACGTCTGAAAGAGTTCTAGGGAGTCCTGGATATTTCCTTCCAGGCGAAATATCAATGCTGCCAAGGAACAAAACAAAGAAAAGAAAATCACGTTCTGGGAAGAATGGCACCTGGTATCAGAAAAATTAAAGAAGTGGAAAATTAAAGAAGTGGAGGTGGGGAATTATAATAAATTCTTTGGATAGTTGTATCTTTAATACAACCACATATGACTTCGGGTGGGTTGAAACAATTCTAAAACCTTTCTCTCTCTCTTTTTTGGACACCTGTATGTTTTATTGTAAGAAATACCTTTACTTTGACCCAGTTAACCAAAGAGCTTTCAGTATGATGAGTTCTTCACTTTTCATTTTCATTAAGGGAATAAATATGGTCAAGCTTAAAAGAGAAGGGAGAAGATATTTAAATATCTGGCAGTAAGATTATCTTTCAGAGACTGAAGGGGAAGGAGGAATACATCCTCTTCAAGTTTGTTACTGGGTAACATCGGCAAATCTTTCAATGTGGGCCAAAAGACGTGCAATGGCTTACCTTTCCTAGTACTGACAGGGTTTATAAGCTGACCAACTTCACTGGCATTGTTAGGCTTGGCAGACAATAGTTTTTCATAGTACTCTAGTGGCCCATTGCTTGTATCACCCCCCTTCTCAGATGCAAGACAGCCAGTAGGGACTTCCTCAGAGGTCCTATTGGGCTCTTCATGACCTTCGTTCACCTCTTGAACCTCAATTTTCCTTCTCTCCATTTCCTTATTGAATGATGCCTATTGTCCTTAATACAAGGAATCTGGTTGCCATTTCCACCTTTGACTCAACAATGCTTGAGTCTACTAGGAGAATTTTATTGAGATCATTTAAACTTTTCTGATAATTCTTGACCTTTATGAGCAAGAGCATGTCCACAGCATGCTTTTGCATTCCTGTTATCTGAAGCACCCAGTCACAATCTTGCTTTGCCTCTTCAAAGTGGCACAGCTTCAAGTCTGTTTGTATAAATGGCATATTCCTTATTGTGACTCTTTAAGCATTTACGTTATTTACCAAGGACATCTTTATAATTTTGGTCCTTTACACATTGATTTCCCTGTTTAAGTAAACATTTACACATTGATTTCCCTGTTTAAGTAAACATTTTAAATGTTTTTTCATTTGTGATGCCCAGCTGATGATGATGGCTCCAGGAATCTCCCACTTGATCTGGGGGCATCTTCGCCACAGGCTGCCAAGCTTGCAGTTGCATGGAAGTGAGCACAGAAGGAATGGGTAACAGCTTTCCCACCAGCTCAGTTCATCCAGACCCATTAAAATTCTTGTACTCCTGTTAATACTGTCATTTGCTTTCTGGATTCTATAGTCCATTTGCAAAACACTGTTTTATAATCCCCAGAGCTTTCTGATACTGCTCTAAAGTTTCATAGGCCATTGCACCTTGAAGAAGAGGTTTAATGGAAAATGATGTTCCAGAGTCCTATTACAATCTTAAATACAGTCACTTCAGTTTCCTTCCTTTAGGTAACATGCAGTTCTATTTTAACAGAAGCTACTTAGATCTTCACTTCCACTTCCTGCAGGCTCCAGCTACACCTTTGCAAACTGCCTGGTTTTGAACAACTAGGAGGCAGTGGGAGTGGCAGCAAAAGGCCCAGATGTGGCCCTCTCCAGCTGCTAGCCACCATTGCTTTTGCCCATCAGCTTCAGATGTTGCTCCTGTCGGCTGGAAGACCTCAGTGGGAAATGGATGTGGGAAATGGGAATCAGGAATTTGCATCATCAGGAGAAATTACCTTGGCGGCTATGGGGTGCCTGCCCAGAGTGGAGGTGCAGCCAAGCTAAAACCTTTTTAAATAAGGTGTCTCTGCTTTATCCTGTATATCTCTAGGCTTCTTCCTGACTTACTTTACTAAAAATCCTCAAGCTTTTCCTCATCACTTTTAGCCTGACTATAAGGAGCCCTTTCAAAAGCCTCTTCTGGGCCTGAAACTGCTGTATGACAAAGGGACCTTAATATCCATTCTGAAAAACACCAACCAGAAACTAGAAAATGGGTGAAGTATGGTAACAATTTTATTTAAACAAATCAATCATTTCTGAGGTCAAATCTAGCACAAGAATTTTATGTTCTGATTTCAAAAACAATACTGCAAAAGACCTTCATATCACACTTACTTGAATTTAAGCATTTCATAAGTTGTTTGATCTTTTTCCAGATGCAAGGCAACGTGTGCATTCCTCTAGCAAGAAGAAAAGAAGGATCTACAGTATGTCTTACCTTGGACATAGAGAGCATATTCACACAACCCCTGGGTCTCCCGAAGCTGTTCTTTGATAACAGCCTGAAAAAGAAAGAAAAATACTTCTCAGGAATGGTTAAGTGTCTTCAAGTGTTTTTAAGAAAAGGCAGATATGGGCAAGGAAAAGATGTAAGAATCCAGATACTAATAGTTACTAATAAAGTAGTTCATTCCTATTTTTTTAAAGTCTCAACTCTCTTGTTATGATAATTTATTCTAGATACAGGGGTTGGTGAACAATAGCCCATGGGCCAAACCTAGCCCGCAGAACCTACTTTTGTACAGCTCTCAAGCTAGAAGTAGTTTTCATAGTTTTAAAGGCTTATTATAAAACAATAAGCCCTGACTGGGTGGCTCAGTTAGTTGGAGCATCATCCTGTGCATCAAAAGGCTAAGGGTTCGATCCCTAGTCAGGACACAAACCTAGGTTGTGGGTTTGATCCCCAGTCAGGGCACATGCGGGAGACAATCAATTGATGTTTCTCTCTCACGTCAATGTTTCTCCCTCTCTCTCTTTTCCTCTCTCTCTTTAAAATCAATAAAGCATACCCTCAGGTGAAGATGTAAAAAATAAAATAAAGGAATAATAAGCTTATGACACAGAGAGTTCCTGTGGCCTGCAAAACCTAAAATATTTACCATCTGGCCCACTGCAGGAAAAGTTGCCAACCTTTATCTAGAATCTATCTAGTCAAGCTAAGAAAAAGACGAAAGGATGCCCAAGCACTGTTGTAGATGCTAGGGGCTCTCTGATGAGCAAAACACAGGCTCTGCCTTTCTACCATGATGGGCTCAGCTGCAGGTGCTGGGGGAGCTCAGAGGTCAAGCTCCTGATTCTAACTCGGAAAATCAGGTAAAGCTTTCCAGAGTCACCAGTTTTAAATCCTGTGTTGGCAGGGGGTGGAGAAGCTGGGGTAGCTAGGAGACTCAGAGAGAGAAAGGCTTCAAATGCTATGCTAAAAGGCTGAGAGTAATGGGGAAATAATGATAAGTTTTAAGCAGTAAGTAACCTGATTCTATTTGCTTTATTAAATAAAAAACATTTTTAGACAGGGGGCAAAATTAGAGGCAAGGTTGATATAAGAATTAGTGGTAATTTAAATTAAAATAAACGGGATTAACTAAGGCATGGAGGGTGGGGGAAAGGGGACAATTTCAGGAGACAGTAAGAGAAGGATCTCCAGAATTTGATGATTATCTGTATTATATCAGGGAAAGTGGGTCAGAGGATTCTGACACAGACAGCTGGGTGAATGATGGTACCTATCTTTGAGACAGGGAGCAGGAGAAGGAATAGGTTTGGAAGGAAGCAAATAAATTCAGCTACAGAAAGATGAATTTGAAATGCCTGTGAACTATTCATTAGGTGTTAGATTGGTCTGGAGATCAGGAGGAAATGTGTGCAATGAGCAGATAAAGGGGTCAAGGACAGGACATAGGAATAGCCCCAATTCTTAAGAAACAGGCAGAGAAAGAGAAGCCAAAACAAGGAAACAGAGAGAGTGGTCAAATAAGAAAAAGGAACACAAAGAGAAGATAACACAGTAAAAAGAAAGAAAGAAACTTTTCAAGATTCAGACTGGTACTAACCATTGCTAGTTCTGTGCATTGTTACAGGTATGAATGCCACAGGTATAAATTAAAAACTACAACCTCAGAACCATTACAAATCTCTGAATACCAAGGATGTATCTTGCATGTTAATACTACTGTTTGCCAGCAAATATGTAACATATAGTATGTTATATAAAGATATAGTTTAGAGAAAAGGAAATACAGATGGTTTTTAAATATATAAATAGTGATAAAGCTTACCAGAATAAGAGAATTGTAAAATAAAACTAAATAAAATACCATTTTTCACTTAGCTGAGGATCAAAAAGTGGAATACTATGCTGTGTTAAACATCTGCCCTCCACCGTGTGATTAACAAGTCCCAGAGAGTGACTGCCCCTTCAGCCTGGTCTTCAAATGAGAGGACACGTGGAACATACCTGATCCTGACCCACAACTTGTATTCAAACCCAGCCAACCCCTAGTCAGTATGAAGGCCCATGAGCAAAAATAAACATCCATTGTTGGAGGCCACTGAATTGTTGATGTTGTTAAAGCATCATGATCACAGAAAAAGCTAACAAATACCACCAAGTGTGGGGAAACAGTAACTCATACATTAATGGGATAGACACTGCGACAAATTGTGTGACAGACACTGTTAGCTGCCCCACCAAAGTGTTCACTATCATTGCAATCTCTCACCTTGCATGCTTCATAATCCTTGTGGATATAGTGGAGATGTATCAACCAGTTCTGCTTCTCCAAAATAGGAAACTCTAGAGCTGGGCAGCATATTGTGACAAAACAAAGAACGCAGTCACTGTTAGATTTTCTTTTATCACTGTTCCTCACATCTAAACTAACCACAAGCATTTTGAAAAAATATCAAATTAAATTCTTCATGGTGCTGACCATAAGAATACAGTGCATCAAAAGTATACAGACTATTAAGTGATACATGTCTACTAATATGCATTAAATACATTCTTCTGTCTCGACCAGTATGGCTCAGAGGGTTGGGTGTTGCTCTGCAGGCCAAAAGGTCACCCATTAAGATTCCTAGTGAAGGCACATGCCTGGGTTGATGACCAGGTCCCGGACTGGAGACATGCAAGAGGCAACCTATTGGTATTTCTCTCCCTCCCCGTCTCTCAAAAACTAAATACTTAAATATATACTTCCTTCACTTTTTGTAGATTATAATGTTAGTTTTTCAAGTGAAACTTGGCCAGAAAAAAACCAAAGTCATTTTTAGTCTCTTCTCCTCACTCTCCCCTAGATACAGAAGGTAAATATGAAGACTGTCTAAAAAATATTTCAGGAATGTTACTAACAAAATATATATACTCTCGTATGTAACACAGTTAATGTCACATCTGATCAGAGGACCAAAAATATTTTATATATTTAAACACAGCACTAGCAATAGCTCAAAAGTGAATACTATTGCACAGGAGTGGAAATAAACTCTATTTGCGTTATTGAAAATGATTCATGATGGAGAAACAATAAAATTAGTTACGCGTCCTGGGTGGTTAGCTCAGTTGGTCAGAGCATCATCTCAATGTGCCAGGATTGCAGTTTCTGGGACTTCCGGCCAAGATGGAGGTGAAGGTAGATATATTGTGCCTCCTCCCACAACCAAAAGAAGGACAACAAATTTAAAACCAAAAATAACCAGATTGCCAGGAAACTGAACTGAATGGAAGTCTGACAACCAAGTTGTTAAAGAAGAAACATTCATCCAGACTGGTAGGAGGGGCGGAGACAGGCAGCCAGGTCGGAGAGGACTCACGGCAAAGCAGTGGCTCACGGACAGGCAAGGTAATGGGTGGTGGAGTGGGTGGTCCCACATTCGTATGGAGATAAACTGGGAGGAACAACTAGGGAGTGAGATGGACCAAGCAACCTTGGGTTCCAGCGAGGGGGAAATAAAGCCTCAAAACCTCTGACTGGAAATACCTGTAGGGGTTCAGGCGGCAATGGGAAAAACCCCCAGCCTCCCAGGAAAGTTCCTTGGAGAGACCCACAGGGTCCTAGAACCTACACAAACCCACCCACATGGGAATCAGCACCAGAAGGGCCCAATTTGCTTGTGGGTAGCAAAGAAAGTAACTGAAAGCCAGCTGAGACCCAAGCAAGCAGCATTGTTCCCTTTTGTGCCCCTCCCCCACGTATAGCACCAGAACACAGGTGGACCCAAATGGTGAATAACTAAGGCCCCGCCCCTTACTACATAACTGGCATGCCTAAACAAAAAAGTGGCCCAAATGAAAGAACAGATCAAAGCTCCAGAAAAAATACAACTAAACAACGAAGAGATAGCCAACCTATCAGATGTACAGTTCAAAACACTGGTAAGCAGGTTGCTCACAGAAATGGTTGAGTATGGTCGCAAAATAGAGGAAAAAGTGAAGGCTTATGAAAAGTGAGTTAAAAGATAATGCACAATGATCCAACAGTGATGGGAAGGAAAATGGGACTCAAATCAATGGTTTGAACCAGAAGGAAGAAATAAGCATTCAAACAGAACAGAATGAAGAAACAAGAATTCAAAACTATGAGGAGAACCTTAGGAACCTCTGGGACAACTTCAAATGTTCCAACATCTGAAGCATAGGGGTGCAAAAAGAAGAGGAAGAGCAAGAAATTAAAAACTTATTTGAAAAAAATAATGAAGAACTTCCCCAATCTTGTGAAGGAAATGGACTTCCAAGAAGTCCAGGAAGCTCAGAGAGTCCCAAAGAAGTTGGACCCAAGGAAGCACACACCAAAGCATATCACAATTACATTACCCAAGATGAAAGAGAAGGAGAGAATCTTAAAAGCAGCAAGAGAAAAGGAGACAGTTACCTACAAAGGAGTTCCCATATGACTATCAGCTGATATCTCAAAAGAAATCTTGTAGGCAAGATGGGCTGGAAAGAAGTATTTCAAGTCATGAAAGGCAAAGACCTACATCCAAGATTACTCTATCCAGCAAAGCTATCATTTAAATTGGAAGGGCAGATAAAGTGCTTCCCAGATAAGGTCAAATTAAAGGAGTTCATCATCACCAAGCCCTTATTGTATCAAATGTTAAAGGGACTTATCTAAGAAAAAGATGATGATCCAAAATACAAACCATAAAATGACAACAAACTCACAACTATGAACAACTCAACCTAAAAAAAACAAAACAAACTAAGCAAACAACTAGAACAGGAACAGATTCCCTGAAATAAAGATCACATAGAGGGTTATCAGTGAGGAGGAGGTGGAGGAAGAATGGGGTAAAAGGTGTAGAGAAGAAGCATAAATGGTAGGTACAAAATAGACAGGAGAAGGTTAAGAATAGTATGGGAAATGGAGAAGCCAAAGAACTTATATGTTAGATTCATGGACATGAACTAAGGTGGAAGAATGATGGTGGGCAGCAGGGTACAGGGCAGAGGGAAATAAGGGGGAGAAAAAAAATGGGATAACTGTAATAGCATAATCAATAAGATATATTTTTAAATATATATATATATATAAAAGAAAAAATAATAAGAAAAGAGAGAACACATTTTTAAGGAGCATATTATTTATATACTTCATCAAAGAAAATATAGGGATTGTGGATAAGCACATGAAAAGATGTTCAATATCAACAGTCATTAGGAAAATGCAAATGGAAACAATGAGGTAACACTGCATACTTACTAGAAAGGCTTTAAAAAAACCTGGAAATACCAAGTGCTGTCATGGTTGTGGAATAACTAGGGCTTTCATACTTTGCAGAAGGAAATATAACGATTTTGGAAAACATTTTGTCTATTTCTAATAAAGTTAAAAATATACTCACAACACTATCCAGCAATCTCACTCCAAGGTACTTACACAAATGAAATGAAAATTTCACACACAACAAATGTTTATAGCTTTATTTGTAAGATTAAAAAAAAAAACCAGAAAACAACCCAATGTCCTTCAGCTGGTGAATGGATGGAAAAAGTGTGGCAAAAACATAGAATACAATACTACCCATCAATTTAAAAAAAACTCAGACATACGAGCCCTGGCTGGTGTAGCTCAGTGGACTGAGCATGGGCCTGCCAACCAAAGCGTTGCTGGTTCGATTCCCAGTCAGGACACATGCCTGGGCTGCCTGCTAGGTTCCCGAAGGGAGTGCAACCACACATTGATGTTTCCCTCTCTTTCTCCTTCCCTTCTCCCCTCTCTAAAAATAAATAAGTAAAATTTTAAAAAAAAGATTATTAAAAAAACCTTCAGACATACAACATAGATAACTCAAAAACATTATGCTGATTGAAAAAAGGTCACTCAGATTTTACATAATGTATGACTCCATTTCTATGACATTCTGGGAGAGGCAACAGTATAAGAAGAAAAAAAAGATTAATGGTTGCAAGTAATAGGAAGTGGAAGAAGTAGTTTCTACAAAGTCAAAATGAATTTTGGAAAGTGATTAAGCTGTTCTAATTCCTTTTTCCCTTTTTTAAAAATTTTTTAAAAATATATTTTATTGATTATGCTATTACAGTTGTCCCATTTCCCCTTCACTCCCCTCCACCCTGTATACCCTCTCCCACCCATATCCCCCCCTTTATTCATGTCCATGTGTCATACTTATAAGTTCTTTAGCTTCTACATTTCCCATACTATTCTTACCCTCCCCCTATCTATTTTCAACCTACAATCTATGCTACTTATTCTCTCTACCTTTTCTCCCTCTCTCCTCCTCCCACTCCCCTATTGATAACCCTCCATGTGATCTCCATTTCTGTGGTTCTGTTCCTGTTCTAGTTGTTTGCTTAGTTTCTTTTGGTTTTGCTTTAGGTGTGGTTGTTAATAATTGTGAGTTTGCTGTCATTTTACTATACATGTTTTTTCTTTATCTTCTTTTCTTAGATAAGTCCCTTTAACATTCCATAAAATAAGGGCTTGGTGATGATGAACTCCTTTAACTTGACCTTATCTGAGAAGCACTTTATCTGCCCTTCCATTCTAAATGAAAGCTTTGCTGGATAGAGCAATCTGGGATATAGGTCCTTGTCTTTCATGACTTGGAATACTTTTTTCCAGCCCCTTCTTGCCCGTAAGGTCTCTTTTGAGAAATCAGCTGACAGTCTGATGGGAACTCCTTTGTAGGCGACTGTCCCCTTATCTCTTGCTGCCTCTAGGATTCTCTCCTTCATTTTTACCTTGGCTAATGTAATTATGATGTGCCTTGGTGTGTTTCTTCTTGGGTCCAACTTCTTTGGGGCTCTCTGAGCTTCCTGGATTTCCTGGAAGTCTATTTCCTTTGCCAGAATGGGGAAGTTCTCCTTTATTATTTGTTCAAATACGTGTTCAATCTGTTGCTTCTCCTCTTCCCCTTCTAGTACCCCTATAATTTGGATGTTGGAACATTTAAAGATATTCTGGAGGTTCCTAAGCTTCTCCTCATTTTTTTGAATTCTTATTTCTCCATTCTTTCCTGTTTGGTTGCTTTTTTCTTCCTTCAGGTCTACTCCATTGACTTGAGTCCCAGTTTCCTTCCCATCACTATTGGTTCTCCGTGCATCTTCCTTCATCTCTTTTATGGTAACCTGCATTTTCTCATCTAATTTGTGCCCAAAATCAACCAATTCTGTGAGCTTCCTGATCACCAGTGTTTTGAACTGTGCACCTGATTGATTGGCTATCTCTTGGTCACTCAAAAGGATGAGTCCTGGGGCATTGATCTGTTCTTCTGTTTGAGACATGTCTCTTTCTCCCTCCCTCCCTCCCTCCCTCCCTCCCTCTCTCTCTCTCTCTCTCTCTCTCTCTCTCTCCGTCTGGTCGCTCCTGTTACGGTGAGGGGCGGAGCCTTAGGTGTTCACCAGGGCTGGCCACCCCAGTCACTAGATTGTGACGTTGTATGTGGGGGCAGGAGGGAACAATGGCAGTAGCTCCGTTTTCCTGGGACCTCAATCCCTTCTCTGGGATCCTGGGTTGCGTGCTCTGCCCTGGTCCACAATCGCCGCCTCACTGGGTCTGCCAGCTGCCGCTTGCATACTCAGGGTCCACCTGCTGCGATCTTGCATGCCCCAGATGCCTTACGTGCTCCCGGTTGCCTTATGCGCCCATTTCACCCTGTTCTCCGTGCACCGCGACCCGCATCATGCTGTTCCTCTCCACCCCTCCTACCGGTCTGGATGAACGGGTCTACTTCAACTTCTTGGCTGTCCAACTTCCATTCAGATAAATTCTCTGTCAATTCTGGGTGTTATTCTGCCTCTTCAATTGTTGTTGTTCCAATCTTGGTTGTGCGTGGAGGTGCGGTGTGTCCACCTATGCCTCCATCTTGCCGGAAGTCTTAGCTGTTCTAATTCTTGATTGTGGTGGCAGTTACATGATCACTTTCATTTGTCAAAATTCCCAGAACTCTATACTAAAGTGAATTTTAGTAAATGTATGTAAACTATGTAACAATTACTGTGCAAATACTAGTCAAAACAAAACTGGAACAACTACATTATTATCAAACAAGGAATTGTATCAGGGATAGAAGAGGAATATTACATAATGATAAAAGGGTCAATTCACCAAGAAGTCAAATTATCCTAAATGTATATGCAATCCCTCAATAGATCTTCAAATATACCAAGTAAAATTTGATAGAACTGAAATTAGAAGACAAATCCATAATTACATTTGCATACTTCCACACTCTTCTCTCATTAGAGAAATCAGCATCTAATATTAGTAAGGATACAAATACCCATATCAGCAAGTACACGGAAGAACAATACTCTCAAACAACTGGACTTAACTGACATTTATAGACTACACCATTCAATGGGCAGAATACACATTTGCAGTACATTGAACTTTTTCCAACACAGACCACATTCAGGGCCATAAAACAAACCATAGAAAGCCTGTTCCACCCTGGCTGGTGTAGCTCAGTCGATTGAGTGCAGACCTGTGAACTAAAAGGTCTCTGGTTTGATTCCAGTCAGGGCACATGCCTAGGTTGCAGGCCAGATTCCCAGTGGGGGGTGCATAAGAGGCAACCACACACTGATGTTTCTCTCCCTCTACTTCTCCCTCCCTTTCCCACTCTCTAAAAAAAAATAAATAAAATCGTAAAAAAAAAAGAAAGAAAGTATGTTCTTTGAGAAAGTATGTTCTTTGTGGATGGCTGGGGTGGGTGGGGATAGTGAAAAAAAAACCAAAATGAGGTAATGGATGTTTAACTAGACTTAATGTGATGACTATTTTGTAATATATATAAATATTGAATCATTATGTTGTATACTTGAAACTAATATATATTATACCTCAATAAAAATAATTTAAAATATATACATATACATATATACATACATATGTGTATATATATACATATTTACATAAAATTACAAAAGAAAAAGAAAGTATGTTCTAAGCCGTAGCCAGTGTGGCACAGTTGAGCATTATCCCACAAACCAGAAGGTTGCTTGTTTGATTCTGGTTAAGGCACATGCCTGGGTTGTAGTTTCAGTCTCTGGCCAGAGTGTGTACTGAAGGCAATCAATCAATGTTTCTCTCCCTTTCTCCCTCCTTTTCTGTGTTTCTATAATAAAAAAAATATCTTTAAAAAAAAAACAAAGTATTTTCCGTAACCACAATAGAATTAAACCAGAAACCAATAACAAAAGATATCTGGAAACATCTCCAAATATATGGAAATTAATCAATACTTTTCTTAATAATGCATGGTCAAAGGGGAACACAAAGGAAAATTTTAAATATTAAGAACTGTATATTTAATTTATGAGACAATCAAGAAAATGTGAACAATGACAATTTGGTGATATAAAAATTATTATTAATTTAAAAATAAAGAGTTTTGCACTGACAGGTGTGGCTCAGTTGGTTGGAGCATCATCTGGTAACCAAAGGACTGAGGTTCAATTCTGGTCTGGGCACATACCTAGGCTGTGGATTTGATCCCTGGTCGGGGGCATGTATGATCCCCGGTCCAGGTGCATATAAGAGGCAACCAATTCTCTCTCTCTAAAAAGCAATAAAAAAAAGTCCTTGGGTAAGTGTAAAAATAAAAAAAGGAGTTGTATAAAAGTTAAAACATAACACAACACTTGAAATGTGTATAAACCACGTGAGCACTGTTTAGAGGGACATATGAAGTACTAAATGCTTATAATTGAAAAAAAAAATCTCAAATCAATGATCTAAGTTTCTACCTTAAGAAACTGAATAAAGGACCTGGCTAGTGTGGCTCAGTGAATTGGGTGTCAGACTGCAAAGCAAAGGGTCGCCAAGTTCAATTTCTAGTCTAGGGCACATGCCCGGGTTGTGGGCCAGGTCCCCATTAAAGGGTACACAAGAAGTTAACCACACACTGATGTTTCCCTTCCTTCCCCTCCCTCTAAAAATAAACAAATAAAACCTTTAAAACAAAACTGAATAAAAGAGAGCAAATTAAACACAAGAAACAATTAGATAAGAGCAGAAACCAATGAAATTGAAATAGAAAAGCAAAAGGGGGAAAAAGTAAAATCAAAAGCTAGTTCTTTGAAAAGATCAATGAAATGTATAAACTGGTAGTCAGACTAATTGAGAAAAAGAGAAAACAAATTACCAAAAGCAACAACAGAGGGACATCATTACACATCCTACAGATACTAAAAGGAAAATATAGGAGTACTGTATGTACATATAATGCCAATAAATTTGATAACTGAGGTGAAACTGACCAATTCCTTTGAAAGAAAAACATTATCAGAGCTCTCTCTAAAAAAATATATAACCTTAATAGTCCCACATCTATTAAAGAAATTGAGTTTGTACTTTAAAATGTTCCAGTCAAGAAAAATCCAGGCCCAGATTGCTTCACGGTCATAGAAAGAAAAACACTAAGCCCTGACCAGTGTAGCTCATTTGGTTGGGTGTCATCCTGCAGGGTACAAGGTGGCAGGCTGATTCCCCTGGCTTGCAGGCCCGTCCCTGGTCAGGATATGTGAGACAGGCAACTGATCAATGTTTCTTTGCACATTGGTGTTTCTTTCCCTCTCCTTCTCCCTCCCTTCCCCTCTCTTCAAAAATAAATAAATAAAATATTTAAAACAAACAAAAATAACACCTATTCTGTATAAAATCTTCCAGGATTTCCAATAAAGAGGGAATAGTTTCCAACTTGTTTGAGGCCAGCATAACCCTGATATCAGAGACAAAAGTATCACAAAAGAACAAAACTATAGACCAACATCTTTTGGGAACACAAATATAAAAATCCTTAACAAAATATTAGCAAAGCCCTGGCTGGTGTGGCTCAACGAACTGAACACTGGCCTGTGAAACCAAAAGGTCCCAGGTTTGAGTCCCAGTCAGGACACATGCCTAGGTTGCAGACCAGGTCCCCAGCTGGGGACATGTGAGAGCCAACTGATCAAGGTTTGTCTCCCTCCCATCTCCTCTCTCTAAAAATAAATAAATAAAATCTAAAAAAATATATTAGCAAATTGGATCAAACCATATATAAAAAAGGGTAATACATGATTACCATGTGAGATGTATCCTAGGAAAGCAAGGTTGATACAACATTCCAAAATTCAATGTAATCTACCATATTGATAGATAAAATTATGGGTTGTGGAAACCATAAATTAAGTACACATTAAGAGCATGTTATATCCTCAATATTTTATGGATATGGTCCATAAAATAAACCCATGGATATGGGTTTTGTAAGTCAGAAATTAAGTGCCAATTAAGAGCATTCTATATTCTCAATATTTTAGGGGACTGTGTCACCACCACAACTCCAAAGGCAAATCATTTTTATTGCAATCACTGTATTCTATATGAATGATACTCCTGCCACTGGGCAATACATTTGTATTGCAAATGTACAAAATGAGTGCCCAAAAGGCAATGCAACCTTGAGCTGGACTAACAGAAATAAAAATCCAGATGGAGAGATTTTATCTTCCTGATGTTCCACATGGCCTTGTTCACACCACACCTGGAATACTCTGTTTAGTCCTGAATTTTATACTTCCAAGAGGGCCAACACATTCACCATAGGACCAAAGCAGTTATAGCAAAGAGTTCTAAGCATCTCATCTGAAGATTATTGAAAAAACTGAAAGTATTTAACATTCAAAAGAAAGGACCTAGGGAACATACATTACATTTTAATTACCTGCTTATACTCTATACACCCTGAAGACTGTCAGTTCCCTGAGGGCAGAATCCATGCCCCATTTATTTGTGTATTCCAAACACCTATCATTGGTTCTGGAACCTAGCAAATACTCCTATTTATGAGGGGTTCAAGAACAGGAAAATTTAAACATTAATAACAGAAATCAAAAAGTAGTTGCTCTGCAGTGAAGAAGGGAGAAAGAATTGATTCCAAGGGGCACTGCAGCACTGTTAAATTTTATAATATAACATGTAAATGTGTCCCTTTTCCCCATAGCTTTAAACTTTGTATCTCATAAGCCTGGATTAGGCATGGGCCAATACTTGATTGGTATATACTAATTACAGTTCTCCTGATCTGACAATCAGTGCAACCTTTGGGTTTGACTCTGATGGAAGTGTGGAAGAATATCGGAGATATATCCACAACACCCACTAGCTCCACCTAACTAGTCAAATCACCATGGTGATTAAATGAAGTGACAGACATCATAGGAAGATGACTTTCATGCCCAGAAATGGTGTAAAAATATTAGCAATTATGTTAAATATTGGCAAATTACATCTAAATTTCACAAATAATCTAAATTATAGATGTACTGATCTTTCAGTGAAAGATGTTTTCTTGAAAAACTCTTTGAAAATAAATTTCTGAGGCAATCATATTTTCCTACAACTTGCATTATAATTTCAAATAGTAACAGAAATGCCCCAAGTAAACTAAACAATTTATTAACAGAATCAACTTTAAACTCTTAGCAGACAACAAGAAAGCACATGCTGCAAAGGAAGTATAGCCTGATGACTAAAACTCAGATATGCAGACAAGAATAATACATAAGGCTGTGACCAAGACACACCTCTTCCATTCAGCCTTTGTTTACCTAGACAATAATGAATAAATGAGTAAGTAACAAAATAGATGGTCTCTTCTGCCAAATAAAAAGTTCAGGTGTGGGAGGAGACCCAATATATGTAGTCACCTACACCAGATGCAAACTCCTCCTAAGACTAGGTCATCAAATGAAGGAATCTTGTTCCTCTAAAAATAAAGTATACATCAGACCCCTATCAGGGTGTAAAATGTAGTTCTTTACAGTATAGGTCCTTATCAAATTAGGCTTCCCAGATTCAATATTTATAAAACTTCACACTTACTTAACATATACATGAAATTATTTGAGGCCTGATATGTACTCATGGGAATTTTAGAGTAGTTTACCACAAGTACAAAATTAATATACATTTACATAATACTAAAGCTCCACTTAAACACACTTCTAGGTAAAATCAATACCCTAATATCTAACAACTCCATAAAATAAAAATTAAATATGGCAAAACATTTACACTAATAGTGCTTTTGTCAATAATTACATTTTTAAAAGCTCTACTGCATACAGAATAGAACAAAAGTAATAATAAAAGAAATCTGCAAACATACACATACAATGAAATTGCATACAGACCTTTTTTTAGCTGGGGGTTTTGAGATTCAGCAGATGTGGGAAGCTGAGTTCTCTGAAATGAAAGAAGTCTGTGTTAGAGCACCACCATTCCAATAACAAGCATCAGTAAGTAGCTCTCCAATCATGCAATTAATCCATTAACTGCATATAGATACAAATAATTATTTTGAATACAGTTTACAAAACAAATGTCAAACTATTAATAATATAAAATGCATATTTTATATATACTTACATGTGTTTATAATGTATAATTATGATACATGATAAATGTGTATAAATAAATGTACTAAGTTCTTAAGACACTACATATTACTAGTATTAAATTTAATGCTATACTTCTCAGCAACTAAAGCAAAAGAAGTGTTAACTTTAATAAAAGGGAGCTTATGAGTTAGAGCAGCAGCCTTTGGAGCAGACAAGGATATACCTTCTCAGAAGCTTCAGAGCAGGGAAAGCAGAGACAATGAAGTTCTCATTCTTTGCACAAAACTGGATGGCTTCTACAGGAGCCAGGCATCTGATATAGACAAGATTTTTATATTCTTCAGGGATGGTGCCCCCGCCTCCACCAACAAAAAGCTCAGGAAGCTGCTTCCAAGATAAAAAAATCAGAAGTCAGCCCGGGCTGGCCGTAACCTCAGTGGATTGGGCGCAGGCTGCGAACCAAAGTGTCGCAGGTTTGATTCCCAGTTAGGGCACATGCCTGGGTTGCAGGCCACGGCCCCCAGCACATTGATGTTTCTCTCTCTCTCTTTCTCACTCCCTTCCCTCTCTAAAAAAATAAATAAATAAAATCTTTAAAAAGAAAAAAATCAGACGCCTTAAGAACTTATGCCAGTGACTGGAACCAGCATTAATGATGCAGTTGTACCTCAGGTTCCCAGCCTGAAATTCTAGAACTGGGTTAGTTAATTCAGGCCCTACTGGATACTGCCACTGATTTTGATCTTCTAGAAGACGAAGAGACACCCTGGATGTTGTAGCTCAGTGGATTGAGTGTTGGCCTGAGAACCAAAAGGCTCCCAGTTGGATTCCCAGTCAGGTCACATGCCTGGATTGTGGGCCAGGTCCCTAGTTAGGGGTGTGGCAACCGATTGATGATTGATGTATCTCTCACACATCGGTATTTCTCTCCCTCATTCTCCCTCCCTTCCCCTCTCTCTAAAAATAAATAAAAATAGAAGAGGAGAGCTTAAAATTTCAGAAATATCTCCATGAAGACAAGAATCTTGTTCACGTTGCCCATGACCTTTACCAGAAACTCTCTCCTCGTACTAGTAATGTTCAAGCCATATTTTTCAAGGACTGTTTATTGTTACTTTTTAAAGATTTTATTGATTTACTTTTAGGGACAGGGGAAGGGAGGGAGACAGAGAGGAAGAAAAACATCATTGTGTGAGAGAAACATCGACCAGTTCCCTCTCGCACACCCCAACCAGCGACCTGGCCTGCAATCCAGGCATGTACCCTGACTGGGCATCGAACTGGTGACCTTTCAGTTTGCAGGTGGGCACTCAGTCCACTCAGACACACCAGCCTTCAAGGACTGCTTATATAAAGTATTTGATGATTTGGAGTCAAAGATGGAAGACTCTGGAAAACAGCTATTTAGTCAGTTCTCCACCTGATGGAAAATGGAGCTCTGGTCTTGACCACAAATTTCAACAATCAAATCCCTTGATCTTACTGGTGAAAAAAAGGTCCTAGAGTGGGCTCAAGAGAAATATAAGCTGACCATGTTACACACCAATGGAGTCTACACAAACCCTAGTGGCACGTCCTCCATCCAGCTGGGTATCAGAGTGTGCTCAGGACCACTCAAGTTACAAGAGATTCAGAAACTCTATAAAAACAAGTCATTTCTTTTCCTGGGTTGTGACTGGACTGTGGATGATATCACTTTCCAAGTCCTTTTTCTGGAGGCCATCAAGCATAAATCTGACTTAGAACATTTCATACCGGTTCAGAGAAGAGATGTAGATGAGTTCAAGAAGCTTTGGGAAAGGATTAAAGTCATCTGCTATTGAAATTAACATGCTGACCTTCCAGAACATTTCAAGCCACTGACTGTGAGATCTCCATGGGTGGCAGATCAGCAGGGATAGTGAGAGAAGGTCAGCTAAATGCCTCATCTGTAGCACACGGTGGAATGAGAGACTGCAGTACATGAGAGTGCTTTGGAAGTCACCCCCATTAGACCAAGCTGTAAGGCCCTACTGTGAACAGTGTTTAATAGTCAACTTATAAGAACCCAACACAATTCCTGGGAAGAACCAAAACCCACAAGTTAAATGTTAGGCGTAGAGTGGGGGGAAGGGAATGTTTCAACTTAATCCTTCATGCCATCTGGTTCTTGGTCTTATGTGGCCTGTTCCAGGTTGAGAATACCCAAATAACAACAGGACCCAGATGCAGCTCCCCACCCCACCCCTAGGCTGGTTGATGCCTGTGTCCACGCAGCAGAGCAGCGTGATATCCACGGACTGAGGCCACTGTTCTGTGTGAAGGACTTGGGAGGTAGATGGCATGGAATCACCATGGCCCTTATTGCAGTTTTGTACTCTGTACTTGGTTTTTCACTTAAGCTTAATGGCTTTTTAAAAACAAGACTTCAAGCTCTAGTTTTCTAGATCTTTTACAGTATACAGTAAAAGTTAAAAAAAATAAAAGGGAGCTTATGAGGTTATCTACACAGAAATTGTCTAGCACTTAATACCAGAAGGGAGTTTTTTTAAGGGATACACCATATTAAATAACATAATAAATAACATCTTATATTATAACTCTGTTGAAAATCTTCAAATGTATCTTTCCACCTCCTATGTTTGATATGATATGAGCAAAAAATAATGGCTAAAAATTTCCAGAAGTAATAAGAGACACTAATCTTTAGATTCTGGATATTCAACCAATTCTGACCAGGTTAAATGAAAATAAAACTGCCCTTACATACATTACAGGGACCTGCACCACAGACAATAAGTGTCTGTTTTAATTTGTAGCCTTAGAAAAATCTTTGCATTGGACCTCCTGCTCTGTACACTGAGTTTCCTGATTACGCTAAAATAATTTGATTTCTCAGTGTTACAGTGTTTCTGCAGCCAATATGAACTACCTAGCTAAGTTACTTGAGAGACTGTATGGCCCATAAATTTCAAAATACTTATTTTTGGCCCTTTCAAAAACACTTCGCCAACCTCTGTTCTTTTAAACACTTAGACCAATCAAACTAACTTTCAAGAACAATGGCAAATTAAAATGACTGTCAGATAAGTAAAATCTGACAGTTTTTAAGCTCACGAAATAAATTTTTAAAAGCTATACATTAGGAAAAAGGAAAATAACCCCAGAATGAAGGAGTGAACAAGCAAAGGAATTGGTAAATATGGAACTATTCTAAGTATTTACTGACTGTATAAAACAGAGATTAGAAAGTATAATTTGTGGTGTTATATTGAAAAATATAAAAACTACAAAAATGAACAACAATGGCATGAATTGGCAGAAGGCAATGGGCAATAAAGCATTCAAGGATCCCTGTATTATTCAAATTTAAGTTTGAGCTTTAAGCATGTAATATTTTAAAAACTGGAGTACTCACTAAAGACCAAAGAACAGAATATATAACTTCTAAGGAATGAAATGAGAAAAGCAGAAGATAATAAGAAACTCAGCCCAAAAGTGTTGGGGGGCGGTGAACAGAAAAAAAAAAATGAAATTCCCCAATGAAAAGACAGATTATGAGGATGAATTTTTTAATTATAGATTTATAATATTTGTATAAAGACAAACCTAAAACATAAGGAAAAAGAAACACAAAGTTAAAAAATGGCAAAACGTATACCACAGAAATAGAAATAAAATGAAAACCAAAGTAGCAATATTAATATTAGACAAAATAGACTTCCAGAGAAAAAAACTCCATCAGAGAAATGAAAATGAAGTAAAGTTTTGAAGACTGAAATGGAAAAGGCAAATTTTAAAACCTTTAAAAAATATATAAGGCAGGGAAGGATTACTTCCACAAGATATAAAAGCACAAACTAATTAGAAAAGATCTAACAGAAAGAAAAATTAAGAAAACAACCCCAGTTATATTGCATCAAAAATAAATAAATAAATAAAACACCTAGCCATGGCTGGAGTGGCTCAGTGGATTAAGCGCTGGCCTGTGAACCAAAAGGTTGCTAGTTCGATTCCCAATCAGGGCTGGCCTGCCGGCCAGGTCCCCAGTTGGAAGCATGTGATAGGCAACAGATCAATGTTTTTCACTCACACTGATGATCTTTCTCTCCCTCTCTTCTTCCCTTCCCCTCTCTCTAAAAATAAATAAATAAAATCTTTAAAATATATCCCTCCCCACCTGGCTCAGTCGGTTAGAGCATCATCCCATGCACACCAAAAGGTTGTGGGTTCAATTCTGGGTCAGGGCACATATCTGGTTGTGGTGTGACCACCACATGGGAGGCAGCTGATCAATGTTTCTCTCTCTCTCCCCCACATCCTTCCCCTCTCTGTAAAATCAGTAAACATATCCTCAGGTGAGGATATCCGTCTCCTCTTCCATTTTGAAAAAAATATTAAAAACAAAAAGAGAACATACTCTAGAATAAATTTAACCAAGAAGGTAAAAGGCCTTGACAAACTATAAGACACTGAAAAAAGAAACTGAAGAAGACACAAATAAATGGAAGCACATACTGTGTTCATGGATAGGAAGAATTAACATCCTTAAAATGTCCATACTACCCATAGCAATCTATAAATTCAACATAATCCTATAAAAATACCAATGGTGCTTTGCACCAAACTAGAACAAATCATCCTAAAATTTATATAAAACCACAAAAGACCTTGAACAGCTAATGAAATCTTGAGAAAAAAGAGCAAACTTGAAGGTGTCATGTGACTGGATATCAAACTATACTGCAAGGCTAGAGTAATCAAAGCAGCATGGTATTGCTATGAAAACTAATACACAGATCAATGAAACAGAATAGAGAACCCAAATATAAACTCTCGCTGTCACAGAGGCAAGAATGTACAATGGGACAGTCTCTTCAATAAATGGTGTTGGGAAAAATGAAACTAGACCATTTTCTTATACCATATACAAAAATAAAACTCAAAATGGATTAAAGATATAAATGTAAGATGTGAAGCCATGAAATTCCTAGAACAAAACACAGGCAGTAAACCCTTTGAAATTATTCTAAGCAATATTTTTTTTTGGATATGCATCCTTGTGCAAGGGAAATGACTGAAAAAAAAAAAAACCCAATGAAACAACATTAAAATAAAAAGTTTCTGTATGGCAAAGGAAGCCATTAACAAAACAAAAAGACAAGGTACTGAATGGGAGAATGGTACACAATATAAGGGGTTAATATCCAAAATACATAAAGAACTCTTAAAACTTAACACACACACACAAAAAGAAGTCCAAATAAAAAATGGGCAGAGGACCTGCATAGACACTTCTCCAAAGAGGACATACAGATGGCCAAAAGACATGAAAAGATGCTCAATGTCACTAATCATCAGAGAAATACAAATTAAAAACA